CGAATTGCCACGGCATCGCGTGGGGGCACGACCAGACTAAGATCCACCGAGAATCAGGTACGATGAGCGAGGCGGTCTCAGGATTATCCTGCTCGCGTTCGGACCTAGCTCGTGGTATCAAAAGCAATACGCGAGAACATGCTGAGGGCTTTCGTCCCTGCTGCAGTTGCCGGAACGGCGTTCGGCACATTGCCGCGATGCTTTTGCTCATGGTGGTGGCATCAGCTGGATGCTTTTCGCGCGTACAACTTGGTCGTGGCTTGCACATACAGCAGGGCAAACACCTTCCATGTGCGGATTGGTGGATATACGAAAGAAGATAATGTCGTGTCCACAGCACGACTCGTACACAATCGCCCTTGCGGAAACATGTTGTGGTGAAGAGCCTCAAGGTTTGAGCTATGGCCAGACCCCGCCACCAAGAGTAATGGGCGTGGGGTGAAATACCTCGAGCGATCGGCGTCGTCATCCTGGCCAGGCTCTGTAATGATGAGACATGGGATGCATCCTCTGATAAGTTCGCTATTTTGGTCCGTTTTTGGTGGCCCTACGGCGGTCGGATATGGATGACTGCCTCGGTGCGGATATTGCATGGCCTTGTGACGAGCTTCTCCTTCATGCTGTCTGCCACGTCTTGCAGCACCGCTGGAATCCTCTGGTTTCTCTTACCCTTTGCATTGCTCTACTGCACGTCCGAGTGGTCGCCGAGCTCGACGGCTGGACCGACTGGGACCACGATGGGCAAGACGGGGCGCCCGGGATTGCTGAACGGAATCAGATGATGCGAATAGGCCGGCCACGATTCCCCCACCCCCACACTAACACCCCCGAACGGTATCCATCAACGCTCTTTCGAGCCCGCCAACCCTTCGCATGGTGCCAGCTGTGGCGAGAATTACCCTATCAGCTTGCAGCCAGGATTCCAAAAGATCGTCACAAGGCGTGCCCCCCTTGCACTTCACGTCCGGCCAAGATCCGATGTTCACAGCCTCTCACCCCCTGCTCGCTTGCTGCAACGTGAGCAAAAAAGCAAACGCCGCTTCAATCAGCAATCCTCGTCGCGTTTATTGGCCACGCGCAACCCCTACAGCTAAGCGCAAACAGCTGTGCCTGGTATCGGCTACGTGCAGAGCAGCGCCTCGAGCAGGCTGCGGGAGTCACCGCCCCTTTGGTCGTCACCAAAGATGCCTGCCCATCCCTCACTGATGCACTTCACGCACCTTGCTTTGCCTGCCGTCACTAGCACTCCTGACAACGCCGTCAGCTGGACCCCCACACTCCCCATTGCAAGGTCAAGTGTCCGGCGTTTGAAAATATTTAAGTACCTGTACTATCCTCGGGGTGTTACCAAACATCGATCAACCATTGACGTATTCGTTCCGTTCGTCGTTGCTGCGTTCCGCTTATTCTTTGTCAAAAGTCCCGCTTCTCTCTGCAAGCTTTTGTTAGTATAAAAGTCTACTAGACCTCCTCATCCGAACTCTTCTTATCATGTCACCGCACACCGACGCACCTTCTCCTGCAAATAGCTTCGTTCAAGATTCCGGCTTCCACCACCCTGTCCAATCCGTCTACACCATGAACCGATACACCGACTTCGACACCAGCTCAATGGAATCTACTGATGTTGGCATTCGGCGATCATTAGCTCCTGGCATCTACGTTCCCACTGTAGCGTTCTTCGAACCAACTTCAGAAAAAGTAGACGTTGAGACGACCGCCAGCCACGCAGTTCGTCTAGCCAAAGCTGGTGTTGCCGGTATCACTACTCAAGGGTCCAATGGCGAGGCTGTCCATCTCTCACACAAGGAACGCAACCTTATCACAGAAACCACCCGCAAAGCTCTTGATGACGCAGGCTTCGGTTACATGCCTGTAATCGTCGGATGTGGTGCTCAGTCGACCCGGGAATGCATCGAGCTCTGCGAAGAGGCAGCCTCCGCTGGCGGAGATTATGCTTTGGTGCTTCCACCAGCATACTACCAGGGCTTGTTCTCGAAGGATACCGTAAAGGAATTCTTCCAGGACGTAGCCACTGCTTCGCCCATCCCCATCCTCATCTACAACTACCCCGGTGCTGTTTCTGGAATGGATCTCAACTCAGATATCATCATTGAGTTGGCTCAACATCCCAACATCGTCGGTTGCAAGTTGACCTGTGGTAACACGGGAAAGCTAAACCGCATCGCAGCAGCTACCCGAGCAGTTACCGTCTCTGATCCTGGGTCCGGCTTCATGTGCATGGGCGGATCTGTCGACTTCACACTGCAAACTCTGATCGGAGGCGGCTCTGGTATCATCGGCGGCATGGCCAACATCGCACCCAAGACATGCGTCGAGCTTGTAAGGCTGTTCGAGGCTGGCAAGCTGTCGGAGGCCCGCAAGCTCCAGGCTATAGTAGCCCGAGGCGACTGGGCTGCCATTCAGGGTGGTATCATCGGCACCAAGGCAGGACTGATGGCTCACTTCGGATACGGAGGATATGCTCGCAAGCCACTCCCCAGGCCTGGCAAGGACGAAGTTCGCAGGTGGCGAGATGCATTTGACGAGCTCGTCAAGACTGAGAACTCTCTTTGAGCTGCGCACGCAAACACGAAGTCTTCCTCTTTCCATCGAAAGATGCCGCGACCATTGCTTCCGGGCATTATTTCGCATTGCTCTTGGCGTTGAGCGTATTTTCGCATATTTCTAGCGGCGTTCTTCCAATTCGGTCGTCTCTTTCTTCATAGTCAGTATGGTGGGCGTTATCTGTCGTTACGAGGCTGCAAAAAGCAATTTGTACCCCTGCCAACGTCGTTACCAGCGGTGGCTGTGTAGCGCTTCGAGCCTTCTAGTGGCTAGTTTTCAATTTCTGTAAGCGTACGTTTAGCTTCGCATAGCAGTCAGTGGGTGGATATCTGATTCAAATTGTATTTCCAGTCTGTTCGGACCTGTCAGTATTGTAGCAATGTCCAATTCAAACCCTTCACAAATCGCCCTTCGTGGTAATCGCATGACAATGCCGTGCTTGTCCGTACTGCTATCCTGGCTTGCGCACACTTCCGAAACTTCTCTGCTCACCCAATAGCAACGCAGTACGTTGTTACGAGCGCTCGGTCTTGATGTTTATCATGATTGGATCAGCCTGTTTGTATGGCCCTCAAGCCACTGACCAGTGTAACACATCGAACGGCTGGTCTAACCCCCCACGTAAGAGGGCGCACAAACATTCCGGTACATCTTCTCAGCCACATCCGAACAGCCGGGGAGTGTCTCAGATTTATGCACTTTCCTGCGCAATAGAAATGCATCCCGCCATTGTGGTTCGCCCGATTCCTGCGACTTCAGTAAGTATCAGTGCCGACTTCCGCCGTGGAACAACGCTTCACTGGACGGAGACCGTGAAGTTTCATGGGCTTGTGAATCGAGAACGCTGAAGTGCGTAAATGGCCAGTCGCGGGAAGGCTCGCACGCAAGCCCTCTCTGACAATGCTTCAGCCCTACATCGCCAGCAAGATACTCGATGGCGGGAGCAGCCACTTGTGGAAGAAAGAATGTCGAGAACTTGCAGTAAACCGTGTAAGCCAATCGGTGCCTTTACATCTTACCCTATCCGCGCGGCGTTTGTGTTGCTTCTGCCTGCAAGTAGCGAATACATGCGCAGATAACGGTGTCGCTGTGCTCCGTCTCAGTCCGCCACTGAATCGAGCAGCTGACAGCATTATCGCTACGCGGAGATCATGATAGGAAGCTTGCTGAAACTTCTACGTCTGACAGCATCGTCCGGTGAGTAAGCCTTGATAATCAGTAGTCTCGCGTAGTCACCGCTACTTTGCCTTCATCCCACGCTCAAGCGCCTACTGTTCCAGCATAATGGTAGGGCAACATGGCATGTCCCGTCTTACACACTTGAGACGGGACCATATCTTGTGTAACATCCCACGGCTGTGAATGCATGCAGATACTGGTACTTTACACAGCTTAGGCATCTGGGGCGATGCGCGCGTGTAGTGAGGCGAGCCAGGGCTGACGCAGAATAGCATAGAGATTGGGGTAGGTGCGCCGTGGCGCTTGCATGGTGGAGTCGTCGTGTGCGACAGCAATATGAAAGCTGAAAGAAAAGACACGCGGGCCAGGTGATAACAAGAACATGCCAGGGAGCGGAGCGGAGGAAGGACCTGTAGGTGAGTGTTTCCGTACCTTTCCTGGTTAGGAATGGTCCGAGCAGGTCAGCACCAGACGCGGCAGCGACGTTCAGCAGTCATAACCCTTGCATGACGTCTCTTCATGAAGAGAATATGAGCTTGTGTTCCAAGTGAGGCCAAGAGTGTAGAAGTTCGCTTGAAAAGGTGACGAACAGCCTGTCCGCATGTTGCTGCTACCATCGCGAAGACCCAATGGACTTACCTTCCATAAGCCGCGATATCAGGTGTTGGGGAGTTGGACGCTCTTTCACGGTAATTCTTGGGCGACCTTTCTCCATAGTGTGGGTCATCTCAAGTTCCTTCCTTCCAATAAGAGTGGAGTCACCATATTCGCTGCGCACGCAAGCGCGCTTCTACACCTCTACTCTTGGACACATTTTTGCGTGGCTCTATCATAACCACAAACATCAATTGCATCCTTGTCATAGCAATCCGAGGCCACTATACAAGCATCCATTATCCGGCGGAAGTCCTCTCGGTAACACGAGCTGCTTCCCGTCGCATGGACTATTACCAATGCTCAACAGAAGATCTTTTCACAGAAGCACAGCGCCGCGGTTTCCCAAGGCTTTGGAGCTCTCGGGACCGGCTCAGCGAGGCATTGATGCAAGATGACGAGGCAAAAGGATCGGATGCGACAACAGTTTCTACCACGGACCGCGGCGCTTTCATACCGCGGACTGCCAGTCTGGAACACACAGCGGAATTGGACAAAACCAATTTAGCTAGTCAATTGATCAACGAGAGCGCGTCTACCAAATGTGTAGTGCGACAGGACGGCAGAGCTGACTATGCCCAGAGATTATTTACTGGACGATGAACACGTTCTTTCCCGCACTGCAGCTCTTCTTCGAGTCGGGCTCGTCGTGTACCATCGACTGTGGGAGGTTCCCGGACGCAATAGTTGGGCTGGATCCCGCGCTCCGATTCAGACTGACGGATTGTGCACACGAAGAAGGAGGTCGCGTGGTTAACAGCATACTGCCTCGACGTTTTGTACATTCTGGCACCGGTCTCGTCATACAACAAGCGGTAATCGCCCATCGCACGAGTATTGCAATCAGTAATTTTTCATATCCACAGAAAGCCCAGCTATGGCGACCAGGCATTGTTGTCCAACCCAAGATTACAAAAGAGCTGCACACAGTCGTTGGGCTCAGGCTGAGGGGAATGGACAAAACAGCGTACATATGGGCGAAGACTGCGGTGTCTTCCGGAAGTAGGGTGTGGGGAAACATGGGGTCATCAGGCCTGCGCGACGATGTGCCTGTCCCCATACTTCCTTCTGTAGAGGAAGGGGATCCGGGCGCTCAAACAGTTGTGGTTATTAAGGACAGCCTGATCGCGCGCAATCGCCTGGGCAATAGGGATATGGGAACCTTCGAGGCCATTACACCAGAAGATTCCGAGTAATTGTACCGGAGTTTTACGTTGCGACACAGCTGGCGGTGCGACGCGACAGTATCCAAATAGGTGTTTGGTAGTGACGTAGCTTGGCAAGTAGCCATCTATCTTCCAAAGTCCGTCCAGGTGCATGTGAAGATATCCACTCGGGAAGATCCGGCCAAGCTCCAGTAATGTGTGTCTCGAGCTGGGTCGTGGACAAAAGATGGCCGTATGCTGACAAAAGTCGACGCTGTATATCCTAAGCCCGATCGGAGTGGGACTACGAGTAATCTCGGGCGAGTGTACAAAACAGAAGGACCCGAAGCGGATGTAAGGATCTCGAAGTGGGGTATTGAGTCGATCCTAGGCGCTGGCGCAGCTATAAAGACACTAATTCCCACGTCAGTGCTGTTCAGCAACGCGCATCGCATCTACAACAGTCAGTACATCTTGCAAGTTCCTGTTGATTGTTGCTGACAGCATACAGAACTCTTCAATACCATCGAACTATACACCACCATGTCTGGCGCAAACGCTATCGTCCTATACCCTCGCAAGGAGGGCTCCACCTTCGACAAGGAGTACTACCTCAAGACACACATGCCGCTCGCCATGAAACATTGGAAAGATCACGGTCTCAAGTCCTACGCCGTCAGCGAGCTCAACGCCGACGGCCCCTACGCCATCAGCACCGTCATGGAGTTTGACAGCCCAGAGAGTGTCGGAAAGGCCCTGCAGAGCGCGGGAACCAAGGAGGTCATGGACGATGTAAAGAACTTCAGCAGTGAGGCACCGATCCTCGTTCACGGCAATGTCGTCGGACGGAGTTAAGCTTGATACCAAATGGAAGAAAGGTTGGCCGAGGATCGTGAGCAATGGATACTATGACGAGCCTCATGCAAGGTGTGGTGTGGAGACGGGGTGGGAAGAGGTTAGCGGCGTGAAAGCTGCATGGAGGGGTAGCTGCCTCGTTTGGGATGCCCCGCACTTCGTTCTTCCGAGGCATCCTACATTAGGAATCCCGCATCCTCCTCAATCGAAGACTTAAGACAGTAGACTCATCATCTCAAATCTAGCAGACGTCTATACGTGTTTACGAATGCGCATTGTCGTAGGTTTTGTTAGGTAGTGATATCCGCAAAGCAATTTCTGACCTCATATTACGGGCTGTAATCGTGCCGCCTAGGTATGTATCCTGATCGCTTCAACCTCGTCAACACGGGCTTTGACTTTAAAAGACACCCCCCTTCGCTTCAGCACGTATTCTTATGACATATCTTCATCGCATGCCAATCACGAGCAATGACTGACCCATATGCGTCGTGTCCTGTCGACCGGACGAGTCGAGAGATCAGGCTGCTCAAACTCCATCTCAACAACGACGAAGGCATCATCGAATGCGACATGCAAACCTACAATCACCATGACCGCCCGTCCTACGCAGCTGTGTCGTACACATGGGGGCCGGAAATTGTACACACCAACATTGTAATCAACGGAGCCCAGGTTCCAGTCCGTGAGAATCTGTGGGACTTCCTACAACAACAGCGACTTCATGGCAACTACGGTCACTTCTGGATCGATGCTCTCTGTATACAACAATCAGAAGTTCAGGAGCGCAACCATCAAGTGCGAATGATGGACTCCATATACAGACAGGCTCGAGCAGTTTTGGTCTGGCTCGGCAAAGAGCGGGACGGTAGTGATATAGCCATGCAGGTGTTGGCGGAGGGAAAATGGGACTTTGAACGTGTTTCATCAATCCCTTTTGATGTACTGTCCTGGAAGCGCGTGACTCCGGAAGAAGCATGCAGCATCTTGACACTATTCCAGCGACGGTATTGGTCACGTATGTGGATCATCCAGGAAGTCATGCTTGCCCATCACCTGGAAATTCTCTGTGGCACCAAGATCCTCAGCGAATACAGACTTACGCGATTCACAAAAGAGCCTGAAGCGATGTCTACCCGCAAAGACATGGTCTCTAGTCCTGCCTGGACTATTGCTACAATGAGATCCGCAGTCACAATGCCGCACAGAGGGATCGGGTTACAGCGCCTACTTCGAACGTATGCTCATCACGAATGTGAGGATGTCCGCGATAAGGTTTATGCCCTTGCTGGAATTTGGATACACAAATCAGCTCTGGATATCGACTACCGCAAATCGGCAAAAGACATCCTCCTCGACGTCTTCTATCTGGAATGTACCCGAATGAGCTGGGAAGGGAATTGGAATCGACGTTCACTCCTTATGATAGGGGTCCTCCTAGAGAAGGCTCTTAATGTTTCGTTTCCTAAGCCTGAGGTACAGTTCCATCTCGATTGTAGTCGTGATATAGCAAGCGAAAACCTTGTTATCAATGGTGAAAAGAGGTCTTGGGCAGAATTTTGTGAAGCTGTCAAATTAGCACGAGGAAACGCTTCATGTTCCCATGGTTCACAGCACAGCAAGTGTCCAAGCAACTGAACACAGTCTCAATCATCATAAACTCCATTAATACCTCCATGCCATACCGTGCGAGCCTGCAATCCAATCCAAAGCTCCCATACTCAATGCTTAGTATTATGTACGAGAAGATGCAGACGTGAAATATATACAGTGAACATCGGCATCTCGTCTCATACTCTTCAATCCAATTGTAATCGATCCCAAATGACCTCAACACTCTCTAAACGAATAGCCCATCTATCTAACGGCGGTACTGGCCCTGATGCTGTTGCTGCGCGTACTTCGCTGCCTGTTGCGCTTGGTCGAAGCTTGCACCGTAAGCCTGTGTGGGCGGAGCCTGCTGCTGCTGCTGCGCCATGTTGCCGTAGCCTTGCGGTGACGGCTGTGGGAAATACTGGCTCTGCGGTGTCTGCGCTGGCGAGACCCAACCTCCAGGGATGTTCATCTGTGGGGTTGGCGCCTGCTGGGGGAAGTACTGCTGCTGCTGTTGCTGATACATGGGGTGCATTTGGCTCGGTGTGGAGTACGCCATGCCGACGATGCCTGATGGTGTACCAGGCCCAGTAGGCATGCCCATAACACTCGGAGTACCCATCATGCTTGGCGCGCCCATTACACTCGGAGCACCCATGCCGGTTGGCGTGCCTATACCCATAACACTAGGAGTACCCATCATGCTCGGTGCATAGTTGCTCTGAGCCATCGCATATTGTTGCTGCATCTGCTGTTGCATCATCATCTGCTGGCGTTGCTGGACCTCCATCATTTGGCGCTGTTGGGTCTGCAAGGTGCGTCGGTCGATTTCAGCTTGCATAGTCGGTGTAAAACTCTGGCGATTGGCCTTGTGGGCCGCCTTCTCCTTCTCGCGATAATCGATGTAACCTGTAAGACCTGTCGGAGGCTCCTTTTGCACTTTCTTAGTGTTCTGCGAAAGGTCCAGAAGAGGAGTGTTTGTCATGCGAGCCACCTGTTCCTGCTCGCGAGCAGATAAAGTAGTAGGTTGTTGATTAAGCAGTGTCTCAGCACCACGGCTGAGAGGGCGGCTGGGTGGACGGGCAGGACCTGGAGAACCCTGAGGCGACCGCTGAATATGACTCCAATCTCCAGAGTGCGTACGAGTCCAATCTCCAGAATGCGTGCGACCGAAAGGAGGGGGGGTGTGCGACTTGCTCCTGCCATGTCCATACATTATAGGCTGCTGCTGATGCGCCGCACGATGCATCACCCAGTCTTCAGGATCCAACCTTGTCCTGTCCGGCTGCTGTGGTGACGCTGCAGCAGGCTGCCATGCGACTTGTCGTGAATCCGAGATCTGCGGAGAGTTCGAACCACTGCGCGCATGCATGGGTTGGTTGGGTGAACCTGCACCGGAGATGTAAGAAAGTCGGTGCTGTTCGTTCGGGGTCGTCGCAAGGTTCTCCTTGGATCGCGAGGCGCTATTATCGTGCAGCATCTGTGTCATGGTTCCACTAGTGCCCGGCCGCTTGCCGTCAAAGTCCAGGGCATATGTAGGGCCAAAGTCAATGCTAGGAACAGCTGCAGGCGCCTGTGCTGGGTCCAGAACAGATTTGTAGCCATGTGGATCTTCATCCGAGGGAAGCTTTACGTTTGGATCTCCAATCATGGTCAGAACGCCGCTTCTTGGTCGATCAGTGCGTCGTTCAGGTAATCTTCGTGGAGGAGGCGCAGGTTCCTCTTCAGCGATGCTGGCATAGTCTGGCGTGGAAGTCGATATGGCATCATCGTCGTAGCAACTACTTGATCCGCTTGGCTGACGATGCAGAGTAGGCTGTGTGATGTTGAAAGCATCGAGAGCTTCAGGGTCGATTACGTCCTCTCGTAAACTGTCGAGTCTTGAGCTAGTGGTCGAAAGGGTGTCATCCTCTTGCGAGGCTAGGGGAGACCGACCTGGTACTGGTTTACGTGGTATGCCGCCGCTTTCGGGGTGCGGGCGATAAGGGAGCTCGTGACTGGGGGGCTGTGGCGGCAACTCACTATGTTCTGGGACCGATGGAGCTGTCGGCTGGTAGCCTGTGGGAGAGTCGACGAACTCGGAATGCTCGACATAAGGTGATGCGGGAATGGTAGACAGGCGGTTGCCAGAGTTTTGGTTCGTTGGAGGCGGCCTTGAGTTGACACCGAGATACATCGATTGCCCCTGATCGCCGTACGCGTTGTAGTCACCACTGCGTCTGCTCTGTATGGTGTCCTGATTTCTCCAAGCCCCGACTGCGCCAGCGGCAGCTACTCCCCCTGGGAAGGATCCATGTGAAGCATCAGCCATTTGCTGGAGCGTGGCAGAATCGACTGCAGGGTTTGGCTTTGCCATGGGCATGTTGGGACGAATGGGTGGCTTTTGATTCGCAGCGTGCTCCTGGGTCGGAGGAAGATCGACATAACCCTGCGGTGGAGCAGACAGGTCTGCAGGCGGCGGTGGAAGGTTCTGTGGCTCCTTGATGGGGCTCTCGTCGTAATCTGACGCAGAGGAATCATAAGGCTGAACCGCTCCATTTGACGAACCGTTGAGTATACGATGCTGGGGAGGCGTCGGCGGACGCTCATCTTCGTATGGCGTCTCCTCTCGCGTGAATCTAGATGGAGTGTTCTCGTTGCGTCCGTTGACTTGCTCTGACACAGATCGCTGATGGCGTGGGGTACCGAATGGGTTTGCTGCGGGAGCTGTTCCAACACGACGCGGCGCTTGCACTTCGAAGTCTGGGAATTTGCGTGTAGGGGAGGACGCGCGTGTGGACGGGCTGGAGCGAATGGAGCCTTGATCTTCGAATCGCAGGTTCCGAGGTGTGAAGCCTGCCCGGCTGACGGTATTCCTGCGGCTGGCGCGACTGTAGATGGATTCCGCGTCCTGGTTCGCAGTCACCATCCGTGTGGACGTGAGGTCCTTCAATTGCTTCCTCCAGTGGCGCTCAGACCACTTGTCGCTGCCTTCGGTGTTGATCAAGCCCACCACATCCCACATCTCCAAGTATCCGTAGCGCCGGTCAGAGGGCATAGCGAACATCAAACCGCGAGTGTCCAGGACGTCTGCGATCAGCTTCTTTGGGCGTCCGTATAGTGAAAATGTATCGAACACGGGAAAGAGGTACTGAAGCATGATCTCAAATCCTGAGATAGCGGGACGCGACTCCGGCATGACAAAGACGAATCCTTCTGTTGTACTCTCTGGCGTAGAGTGGATGGTGATCTTGCCCTCGATCTTCACCAACGTAGACTGGTCGATGAGCGGCTTCGACTGCGGATAGATGGCGTAGCATGAGTATGCGTCCTTGACCGTGGCGATGGCCTTGGTTTTCTTGGTGACCTTCTTGGTATCGTAGAACTTGATGTCGCCTTTGAGTATCGGCGGTCGCTCGTAAGCGTTGCCTTTCTTCTGCAGTTTCTGCATCTTGAGGTATTCCTTCTCATCCGGCGGAGAGACGACACACCAGCAGCGGCGCCACGGAGTGCCCGCGCCAAAGCGAACGCGAACCCAGTCCTCGTACTTTGCGCACTGTCGGTCCAATATCATGCGGATGTTGTTCAGCGTCTTGCCCTTGCCAGCAATCAACGCACCCGTGTACGCTTCCGACAGAGTGGTGTGTTCGAACATGGCGAGGCGGATACCGGCGGTCCATTGCGTAAGTGCGTGGTAGGAATCGAAGTGGAAGAGGTATTTGTTGCTCGCGGCCGTGGACACGCTGAGGATGTTGTCGAGCTTCTTTCCGTCTTTGAGAGTCATGGAGGGGATCTGCGGGGTCAGTGAGGTCATAGTGAGGGCGTGAGCGGACATACCATGTGGATCGCAGCGTCCGTCAGGTTGATGAACGTGGGCAACACCTCAGCGTCACCCCCAGCCTGGTCTAACGCGCTCGCATCCCAGAGGGAGAGGATGGTGCCCACGAGCTGGACGAAGTACTCCTGCCATCTCCGATCTGGCGCGGGACGGCCACCTGCATTGCCGTTAGTATCACAGACAGGCATGGCCTACAGGGCTGACGTACGGGTGTCGGTGTCGTGGAACTTGAGGAAGTAGCCCTCTTGGTACAGCTTGTTCGAATGGCTGTTCAGGAACGTGAAGATGCGCTGCAGCTCGGGCAGCGTGTCCTGGCTTACTTCCATGACTGGCGGCTGGTATGTCTGGATCATGGACATGGGACGGACCGAGGCTCGCGAGTCGCTGCGCTCGCGTTGGGTCGCGCGGGAGGGAGGGCGCTCGCTGTTATACGAGTCGAGAGCGGTGGCGGACTGTGCAAAGTTGGCTGAGCTGACGGGTTGCTTCGTCGAGGGTGAAGGCGGAGCGGGGGACGCGGGGCCCGGAGACGGTCCGGCGGACGGAGGGTTCTTTTGCAAGGTATTCTGGTTGGAACCACCCCATTGTGACATAAACGACAGAACTGTGAAGGGGCGAACCGGGCGCAACATTAGTGAATGTTCTTCCAACGACGGGCACTGCCGACAAGGGAGCGAGGGACGCGGTTTTGTAGCCGGCGCATTATTTACCTCTCTTTGGACGACCCATGGCAGCAACGAGTGGTGGTATTAGTACAAGTGGAAGGTCTCTCCTCTATGCGGTGCACAATGCAGGTGCTCTACGGGCGCGTTGTCGGTACGGACCAGGCGTGCAAGCCACGGGTACACCGGCTCGCGGAATGTTACGGCGCAGGGACTAGAGCTTCTTTGGAACGAGCGACGAGAGCACAGGATTAGAGATGCGTGTCGAGGTGGAGGAGGACAGCAATTATGGGAACTACAAGGAGCGAAAGAGCGGTAGGCGTAGTACGTATATCTGAGGTCCGTGGTGGACTTAGACTTGTGGAGGAATTTCTGGGCACGCGGCAGGGATTAGCGTGCCTATGACGCGAACCTGTGAAAGGGTTCTGGTCTTTGGAGATCGCCGCGCGCTGGACGATCCATCTACCGGCTGACAGATTCGTATTCCATTGCGACTTCTTCCATAGCCGCGCAGACGGCAGCGCGCTCCTTCATCGACATCAACGCATGGCCGCGTGTTCCATATCCACAATCCTCCCGGAGACCTCAATGGCCACTGCACGCTTATTCATTGGCTCTTGGTCGTATTCCCAGCGCATCTAGAGGCCCCGTACTAGACTAAATTGGCGGCCGCCCACCTGTCTTCGGTCACTCGGCACGGACTTCTCCTGTTCTGGGTAACGATGATGCTGTGGCAGTGCACCTTGGCCGTTTCTGCCAAATCCATGTGTTGGCAATAGCGGCCGGAACGCGGCCCACGGAATCTGGGGTACCCAGCTGTTTTTCCCTTAACAGAGGTTTGTCAGATGCGCTGACCGGGCATACAGATCTTACCTGCATGCCATCCTAGCCGAGCACTCCGAGTAACCGACGCGTCGCGTCGTATGTTGTACCACAATGCCATGTCAGACAACGGTGCCAAAGGTTGATGTTGGCATGCATCATCGATTGAGTGACGAACGTGATCGCCCATTGTGGCGCTGTGTAAATCAAGGCTGAGACTGTCTACTTTGGTATTATTCAATAATTCGTTTTCAGCCGGCAGTCCACATGGCAGATGAGGGGAAGCTGCCGGAATAGCTCATGAACACTTGTCAATACAGCTCCAGTGTTTATGAAGACCGTCCAGCCTTGCCAATGCGCTTGGCGAAGATGTCGTGATGGAGACGATATATGTTCACGTGATGTGACGCTTCTGGACTAGCGTTCTCACGGCGCGGTAGCGTGATGGCAGCTGACAACGCGGGCGCGACTGATCGCTTGCTCCACTCGGTGCCAGACGCGTCGAGCTGTAGCATGTCAACTTCAGTTTGACACTGCATTTCGGATAACAACCCAACTCGCCGACTTCTCCATCGTTCCGCTCCCACCGTACCCTCGCTTAATATCCCGTGTCACAGTCAGACAGTCAGTGCTGCCCGCACCGAGCACACACCAGCACATCACAGTCACCACTCCACCAACGCCAGACCTCCACCCTCCCACCTTCGCCCTCCACAATGGCACGTAAACGCAAAGTCGCAGACGAAAAACCCTCTCCCACTGGGTCAACGCCTCAAACCAATTCTACAATGGCACGTAAGCGCAAAGTCGCAGACGAGAAGCCCACGTCCAATGGGTCAACGCCTCAACCCAACGGTGCGAAGAAACGAAGAATTGATTGGTCGACGGTGGACAAAGATCTCAGCTTCAAGATTACCGCCGTCACTGTCAGGAAACACAAGAAGCCAAGCAAATCAGCAAAATCAAAGCAGGGCGCTGTAAATGGCGGGCACGTCAGCGAGTTTGACGCGCCTTTGGACGCGGAAACCACGCAGCCAAATCCATATCCCGAGACGCAACTACCTGAGCTACACGTCAAGATAAAGCCCGCGCTGTACTGGGAGGCTATGCGGCGCTATCGGAGGTTCACTGTGAACGGCGAGGAGTTTGAAGTAGGTCAGATGATCTTTGTGAAGAAGAGCGAAGAAGACAAGATCGCAGAAGGTCCCGGCTCGATTGAGCATTGGATCGCCAAAGTTCTCGAAGTTCGCGGCGGAGATCCCGAGCATGTCTTTCTCAGGGTGTACTGGGCATACCGGCCTGAGGACATACCAGGTGGACGACAAGCGCATCATGGCGACAGCGAGCTGATAGTCAGCAATCACATGGATATCATCGACGCTTTGTCAGTCAATTCATCCGCGGACGTGGTGTATTGGGACGACGACCCAGACAGCCTCGACCTCAAGAGAGATCAGCTATTTTTTCGCCAGAGCTACGACATTACAAAGCGCGCCAACAGCCAATTGAGCAAGCTGAAAACGTACTGCATCGACAAGAAGCCCTGCAATCCAGACGAGCTTATTCTACAATGCCCACAATGTTCAGAGTGGCTTCATGCGGACTGTCTCAAGGAGCGAGCGCTTCAAGACGCAGCACCGCAATTGAAGAAGCGGGGCCGACCTAGCCAAGTTCAAGCCTCCACCACCTTGGATGCAAGAATCAAGACGCAAGACAACAAGGCCCGCCTGACAATATTAGAGAGGCGCGACGGGAAGCCGAAACGCAAGTGGGACGTGGACATACTGTGTCTTGTATGCGGCGGGATGGTAGAAGAAGCAAGTGACAAAGCCTTCAAGGAGGTGCCTGAAACGTCAGGTTCTCAATTTGGCTCCGACATTTCTGAAGACGACAAAAACGGCATCATACCCACAGCATCTGTAGTTGCCAAAGCGCCCGTCCAAAATGACGATACGGACTCAGTCATTGGCGATGCAGAGTCAGACCAAGACGTCGAGGCCAAAGACCCACCAACAAGCGCTGCTGAGATCAAGGGTGAGACTGTCGAATCGCCCTCCTCCGACTAGCCCACTAAACTCCCTTACTAGTGCCAAGAAAGAGAGGCCGTCCTCCCGGATCCAAGAACAAAAGGAAGCGCACTCCTTGGGCTCCAACTAAGAAATCTACGCTGCCACATGCCAAATATCGCAAGACGGAAACGGGGAGAGAGGGTGTTTTCCCTCATGCTACATACGATATGGATGCAATTACGGTCGTGGAGAAGACGGCAAAGACGGTGTCTGGATCTGCGAAGAAAGCGACAGCTATGACAGCCCTCGGATCTACAAACGACGCGACCGCCAGCACTCAGCCTTCTTCACCACAAGCGGCGTCTTCCCCACCCCAAGTGGCATCCAAACCAACACCATTGAGTCCCTCACCTGCGGAAGAAGTCCTCCCAACTACTGCACACAAAACACCAGCTCCAGCACCCATTAGCGAATCAGTCTTCCAATCCGGCGTACGGTCCGTGAAAAAGCTCTTCTGGCGAGGATCATAATATCACAGCGAGATCATTTCATTACCAAGTATAGATTTCAGGCGGGGTGTAATGGTAGATACCCTTTCATTTGGCGTACACATCACTACGGGGTACTCTAGTGTTTCGCTCTCTAGCGAGCGTTTCCTCGCTATCAATACCCATCTTTAATTCACTTTTCAACCCACATAGCAGATCAGGTCATACACGTGTAAATTATGCATTCTCACTCTAGGCGGTCTAACAATACAAAGCCCGATGAAGGCATGTATACTCGTTAAAATCAGCAAAGGGGGTATCCACCTGAATGTCCCATTCCCACCACCCATGTGAAAATACACTACAAATAACGCCATCGCTGAATGCTGTTTGATCCCGTATGCATGCATGCAGCGGCCTTGAACCCTCCTTTTCCTTAAACCATATTTCGCTGTGGGGGAAAGAGATGCCCGTCCGTTAAACACCTTAGAAATGCATGTTGTGTTATCCTCGATACCTCGTCATGGCCATGGCTGTCGACCTTGTCTCTTGCTGAAAACCTTTTCGTCTCGATCTCATCGTTTCTTCTCGCCTGGCAAGTTGGCCTTTCCTACCTTCATCTTGAGTAGCAGTCTTGGCCCACTGCTACCACCCCTCTCCACGCTGACGAGACCGCTCTTAGCAGTGCCGTTGCCGTTTGACAAACTACTTGGCTCGAAGCTCTGTCGCTTAGATGGCCTGTCGTCGTCCCCGTTTCCAGTAACCATCTTACGTTTCTTGTTCTCTCCAGCGAGAAAGCCTGCCAGCCTTTTGGGTGGAATTCGCAGCTTGACGATCTTGCTTCTCTTTTGCTTGATTACAGGTCTGACCACGGATGCAGGGTTGGTAGCAGCAGGTCGTGACGGAGCAGGGGCTGCGCTTGGCCAAGGTGAAGGAGCGGCACTAGGACGTGGTGATGGAGCTGCGCTGGAGGGCCTTGATGGCACAGTAGAGCCGGAAGCGGTCTTGGTCCTGATCTTAAGCTTAGGCGCCGGCAGAGGGACCGGTGATGCGATAGCAGGCGGTGTAGCCATAGGCTTTGGTACCTTGATGACCGCTGGTGTTGGCTTCGCTTGAGCAGGCGCAGGAGCTGGAGTAGGGACCTTGGGTGGCGGGACCGGAGTCTTGGTGACTGGAGCAGGAGCAGCGGTGGGAGCTTGTACCGGAGCTGGTGCTGGAGTCGCTGGCTTGGGGGTCGCTGCTGGGGTGGCTATCTTCTTTGACGGCTGCATCAGCGGCACTTCTGGAGTCGATGAACGCGAATCCGTTGCGGCTGGAGCGGCAGGGGGCGGGGGCGGTGGTGCTGGTACTGGCGCTTGCACTGGCGCTGGAGATGCAGGTTTGGACACTGGTACAGGGGATGGTGAGTGATAGACAGTGGGTGAGAACACTATAGAATGGCTTCTCTGTAAGGCCTGTGTAGAGTCCGCAGTTGCTGGTGTAGATGCAGTAGACTGCTTCTTCGGTGCTCCGATCTTGAGCGACAGCTTCGGCAGTGCTGCTTTCGGAGCCGGAGCAGCTGTATCTCTTGTGGGTTGTGGGGTAGGTAGTGCGGCAGGTGGAACAGGCACCTTTTCCTTCTTGTCGTCCTTATCTTCCTTCTTCTCTTCCTTTAGAGGCGTCAACGATCTCCATCTGAACTTGTTGGTCTTTTTGAAGACCACTGATGCCTTTCCAATGTGCTCCACCTTCCAATAGCGTGGCATAGACAGTTTGATACGCAGCTTGTTGGACTTCTGGTTATCGAAGATCATGTCGCAGATGTCCAAAAGCTCAGACATGTCGTTCGTAGACAAAACTTTCGACCTCAGGGCTTCTTCCAGGACCATACGCAGGGTTTGGTTGCCTTGCATGTCGCTCTTCAACCCTCTCAAAGCCCCATTAAGGTTCTGCCGGGCGAGAGCTGATGCACGCTCAGCATTACTGGCTTCGTTCTCGATCATAAGTGTGCCTACTGAAGTGTCCGCAGCCTTCTCCGGCGCCCAGACGTCTCCAGTAGCGATTTGTCCAATCGCAATGCCAAAGATACGTAGCAGCTGCTTTCTGAAGTACGGCGAAGGATCGGATCGAATCTCATGCATGAGGAATCTCAAGACTGTATCCTTCCGGATCATGCCGAGCCGAATCAAGCACTCCCAAGCTTTTAAGCGTACGTTGTCTGCATTTCCCAGCTGGGCGTACTGGAGAAACTCGGTTGGCTTGAACGGGGTGACGCGGCTCATGACCAACTTCAACGCACAGTCAAGGGCGGTGGTTGTGTAAACGTTCTGGTAGGTAGGGATCCATTCGTCAAGTCTCTGGTGTCGGGTAAGCTCTCCGATGGCTTTGCTTGTGAAATCCTGCTCTTGAGCCCATTCTTCGTGACTAAGGTCGGCACTGGCTGTAGTTTTTGTGAGTGTCTCCGCAAGACAGCGCATCAAGGTAGAAATATAATGGTCGTCGCTGTAATCGTTTCCGCGGTTGTCGTTGTACCGAACAAGATCGAGCAAGAAGCGCTTCGCTTCTAGTGGTGATCTGCCATCTTCGCCCTTTATCTTAGCAATGGCTTTGGGGATAGCGCATTGTATCAGATACATGCTACGATCAGAGAAGTCGTTGGAGCGAGTCATGGGTGAGTTGGGTAAGCAGAAAAGCTCGCGGAAAGCCTTCTGCAGATGGAACAGGCCAACCCACTCTGTTCGCTTCAATGCACTCTGAGCCAAAACATTAGCGGCCATGGTCCGTATACCGTGGAAGTATCGGTTGTCCATCAGCGTCTTGACCAAGAAAGTAGAGATCAGCTTATGACCTTCCTTGTTGGCGAGAAACTGTATCGACTCTGCTTGTGCAACGACATCCTTGTCTTGCTGCAACTGCGAGACGTACATGTATGACGGCATGTCCTCGATGTTGGTCCGACATATCCATTCAAAGTCTGCATCGACTCGAATCCACTCGTAAGCCTCCCCCTCTTGCTTAGCCTCGTCTTCCGGTGGCCAATCGTCTAGTCGCCATTCATCGTGTTCCTGGGGAGATGTGAAAAGGTCTCCCAGCATGTAAAAGGTGACATCCTCTTGAGTCTCGCCCGAAGCATCAAGGCCCGCGGCAGCAGCCATGCGCTCCTTGTTCAATCGATTTCTCTTGAGTCGTTTGTACTTGGTGTTGTAGGGAATCTCTACTTTGACGTTGTTCGAATTGATATCGACGATGTGTTCGTAGGGTGTTCCGTCAGCTTCGTGGATTCGAATAGTCATCGGGCCAACGAAAGTGGGGTATCCTGTCGCCGACCGCAAGTCGCGAGACTTCTCCTTCGCTTCGCGCATGAAGTCATCCGCGGCGAGACCGCTGTCAATATTCGTGATGGATGAGTCAGCCTGAAGCTGCTTGATAGTGAGTTGGACCACCTGCTTCTTCTTGTTGAACGAAGGCACACAGTGAAAAGTAGGACATCCAGCTCCTACGATCCATTGCTGGAAGAACGATTCCAGCTTCTGATGTCCAACCTTCTCACAGATATCGAGGAAATCATCTGTAGCGATCGCGCCGTTGGCGTACTTGCCCTGACGAGCATTGAAAAGCATTCGGTACAGACACCTGTCGACACCATTCTTCCCGCTCTGTTTTACCAGACGGTTGTGGAGGATAGACAGTACCATGAGCGATTTCAGCTCCATGAACTCGACCTCTCCAGGATCCAGTTGTAAGACGTATCCGAGCTGCTGTAACGACGGGCGCTTGCGGTCCATCTGAATGACACGGTCGACCATCACCTTTTGACGGAACCGCCAGTCGTTCCGACCGAACAGCTCTCGCAGGTAGAGCTCAGCCATGAACCACGATCCACCAACGATGATCCAGTGATCTTCTGGGTTGTGTGCAATCACGTCAACGCCTATCCACTGGCTGGCTACTGCATGCACCAAGACCCTGGTCGTGTGCTCCAGTGGCTCCCAGACAGTCTCCGGAAAGAGTAGGCGAGAGCTACAGATAGAGAATGAGGCCGTGTGCGCGGTGTCCCATTCTAAATCGTCTACGAATGCCAGCTTGTAGGAGTTGCCGAATGCATAACTCTGGAAGCGCTCGGTGAAGGTGTCGAGAGCTCGGGCCAGCATCATGGCACTGTTCCTGACCTCATTCTCCTTGCCTGGCAAACAAAACGCGTGAACTTTGATGGCATTCTCTCCCAAGCGCTCGTCATCAAGTGTGTCGCGATATTCCGAGAGATCGACATGTTCGAAGGGACCGATTACGAAGCCGATATGCTGTGGGAGGACAAGGGTATCGCACGAGAAGCTGGCTGTCTTTCGCGAAGAGTCGGTGGGATCGAGAATCTTTGAAGGTCAGCATCGGACGCGCTAAATACAACGAATCGATACTCACATCGTCTGTTAGGGTACCGGAGCAGATAACTTGCATCTCCATGGCCTTTTCTTCCTCGGACAAGTCGACCTGATCATCGTCCGCATCCAGCATGACACTATCTGCCTTTTCCACTCCCTGTGCCTGCGCCTGCACCTGCGCATTCGATTTGCTGAGCGCATCTCCCAGTGTTCGCGGATAGCGGATGGACACATCGAACAGACAGCGCGTTTCGCCGTCGTCTATGCACGGAAAGAGACACGACGCCGCACCGGGAAAGGACGAGTTGCGCGTGTAGGCATGTGGGTACCGGGCATCTCCATCCTCCACTCCGACAAATTGCAGCGCGTCCCGAAAGTCGTCCAGTTCGTATTCGATCTCCAGCTTCATCGGCGCATAAAAGGTACCCTGCGCGTCGTCGGTCATGCCAGCCTCCGAGGGCTTCACTTCCCGGATTTTGACCTTGTCAGGCACAATAATGACCAGCTCATCTTCTGCGCCCTGTGTATGTCGCGCAATCCGTTCTTTCGCGTAGTGATATTGTTCGAGACCGGTCCCGGGGTATAACGTCAGGCGCTGGTGCAGGTTCGAGTAACTAAAGGCGGCTTTTTCTCCTTCGATCTTGATGCTCGTCGGCCTCAGCTGCCGGCAGTTCAGTGTAATATCCCGAAGATGCGCTTTGTCCGGCTGAATGTCGAGCGTGGTGAGGCCCTTGACGCGGCGCGGTGCAAAACTGAAGTCGAGCTCGAGCTGCTGCTTCAACAGGGTGAAGGAGCCGCCCGACGAGGCGTCAGCCGCTACATCGGCGAGCTCGTTGGGCGCCATGTTAGGCGACGCAGGCGATGCTGCTTCCGAGTTGGCGACGGATAGATGGCGGTCGAGGGTTGAGTGGTGTTGGCTCAGCTTCTTTGTCGGCGATACGCGTACATGCCGGGAGTTCGCGACAATGGCCGCTAAGAGTAAGCGCTGGTCTGTGCGCGAAATATGTGGAGGCGCGCACTTCCGCGCTTCACTAATCGTCACCGCGGCCCACTTCACCAACTATGAGAACGTCAAACAAATGAGTATGGAACAGCCGCGAAGCTTACGAAGCCAGAAGGAGGAACGTACTGTCTCAGCTGATCATCTTCGATAACCACGCGCCGATACAGCAAATTCGGAGTGACATGAACTGGATACGTCATGTCCATATGGTGATGATGGCCTCGTCGCAGGCAGCCTGCATGGGGAAAGCAAGATCAGAGAACTTGACATTGGAGCAAATGTAACTTAACCCCTACGTTCACTTACTCACATTTCACAAGTGTTATTGGTGGATGAGCAAATCTTCGTCTTGAGGATACAAGCAACTTGGTTTTACTAGATCGAAGCGAGCACAGTTACATGACCTCAAGATTGACTCTACCATTTGTTACTTCCGCATCTTAATCAGAGCAGGATCTCGTCTTTCTACTGAGGTCCACGGAACAGTGGCGCTTGTTATACAACGAGGCGTCACTGAAGTAATGTCCATTAGCAAAGCTCACGAGGTGTTTTCTACTGTCCTTCTGACTACAACACCTCTAAAACTCATGAGCCACTTATCACAAGTATAAATCCTAGGGAGCGGCACTGCAATGGCTCTCTCATCATCACCCCATAAATCTCTGCTCGCGGCGACAATACTACATCACACTGCTAGAGACTTCCCCTACCATCGTTGTCAAGACTAAGCAAACTTCACGTCGAACCCCAAAACGATCAGACACCCACTGCTGCGCATAACGCTCAGCACTAACCTCTATGGAACAGCCAACTGGGCCCGGGAAGCAAGTCCTCGTTGCTCTCGAACCGCCCCCAGCACACTGTTACCAATTTTACGAAGAATACGATTGCGGCCACATGGCTTTTGAATACGATCAACAATTCCCATGTCCCACATCTCTCGATACGAGCGAGTGCGACTGTACGGATTGGACACTCACTGCACTTGAACTCACGGTAAAGGGAAACTGTATCCACTGCGAGAACGGGACGAGTAGGAAGTTGAAGAAAGCGCAGGAGAAAGCCAAACGTGAAGATCGCGGTCCAGGAAGTACGATGAGCATCGCGGGGAGCAATGAGAGGACGAAGAAGAAGAAGATCACTGAGTTCAGGGAAGAAGATCACTAAGTTCAGGTAGTTGGAACTTTACAGGACAGGATCTAGGTGTTTAGATCAATAATGTTTAATGTCTCTTTCCATGGTTTGTCGAAAAGGTTTTCTTCTCCTTGTGATTATAGCCCATAACTTTGCCTTCTTCCCGCCGACCAGTGACACTGTTTGACGCGCCCAGTCAATGTAAAGCAGCATCACAGCAGCCATAATCATGCCATGGCAAAATATTCACGGCCCGTTCCTTGACCATATCCCATTCAAGGACCCGATGCAAACGCCAGGCTTGAGGAATAATATAAGATCTCGCAAAATGAACTTATTATATCTGCCTCAACATCACAATCTCAATACACTTTTAGATACAACAGCAATTCTATATCTATCTCATACCGATGTTCCAAGTCATCACCGCAGGTCGGTCCCTAAATCACAAAACCAACACCCAAGACGCGAAACTTCCAAGAGCCATACACGTCCACCGTCCAAACATACCAATCCACCGTCAACATGGCAACCCAACAAGCATCAATATGCTATACCACGCACCGACTACATGTAGACTGCGGCCACCCCAATCTCGACGTACCAACGTGGACCATAAGCTGTTGGACACGCCTACAAACTGGCGACTGCGCTTGCATCCAAGGCGCAAACAAGCGCATCGATCTGCTTGCTGGTATGTCTCTAGGCATCTGCAGTATGTGCATAGCGGCGAGGGAGGCTGCGAAGCTCAGGAAACATGGAAAAGATGGGCCTGACGAGTGGAGGAAGGAGGACGATGATAAGCAGAGGCGAAGACAGCATACAGCTACTCTTAAAAATGTCCATCAGCATTCAGGCAGGATTGAGAAACGCAGGTAGACGAGGTTCTGAAAGAGGGGTTTGGGGATTCGAGGCGTAGTGTACGATATTTGCGGGTGTTTATACGGATCGGTTGATAAGACGGGCTTCTGGTCATGTTCCTAGAGGAAGTTGGTAAAGCTCCCTTAGTGTGTATCTTACTGCATCTGTACGGCGTCATGGAGCATACTGAGGTATCAGCTTCTTTCATTCATCATGTATATCTTTTAGTAATCTAGCGAAGTGTTCACATAACCTAAAGCCAAGTTTTGCGTCTCCAGATTTCGTCACAGGAGAACGCCTCTCCATTCCCTTCCCTCACAATAACCTCGTCACATATACTACCTGTCACTCACTCGAACGTCCTCCTCCTCATCCCCACCTCCAACCCCAACGGCTTCCTCAAAAACCCCTCCCTAGTCTCCATCTCGCCCTGCCTAACCTCAAACTCATACCTCCTAAACACCGTGCCCACAATCAACGCCAACTCCATCTCCGCCACATTCCTGCCCACACAAGCCCTCGGCCCATAGCTAAAAGGGATAAACGCCGCTTTCTGCTGCTCGGTCACGTTTTCCCAGCGCTCAGGTCGGAATACGTCGGCATCTTCGCCCCAGATCTCCGTAGAGTGGTGAATCGTGTATGCAGGGACGGAGAGAACGGTGCCTTGGGGGAAGTGGTGGCCGAGCAGTGTGATGCCGGGGCCAGGCGGGATCAAGCGTGGGAGACCGAGGGAGGAGGTGCTGTGGATACGCATTGTTTCCTTGATGACGGCGTCGAGGTACGGTAGGTCCTTGACTTGAGCGTAGTTTGGAATGGCATCTGCATCTGGGAGCGCGTCGTCGAGTTCCTTTTGTAGTTTCTGGACTACATCTGGGTGCTGGAGGCAGTGGTAGAGAAGAGCGCAGGAAGTGTTGGATGTGGTATCTGAGCCGGCGATGAGTTGGGTGAGGGCTTCGGCAGTGAGTTCTTCGCGGCCGAGCTTCTGGCCGCTTTCGTCGCGGCCTTCCATGAGGCGGGCGAGGAGGTCGACGCGGTCGGATGGTTTCTCGAGGCGGGCGTTGACGCGGGCGATGGCTATTCCGGCGAGGTTCTCGATCGCTTTCATGCCTTGACTGAAGAAGGGGTCCGGGAAGTACTTTGCGTAGGGCTTTATGGCGGGGAAACATCCGATGGTGCCGCTGACTTCACCTCTTCTGTTCAAAACCTCAATAGCAGGCGCATACGTGATCTGTCCTCCCTTGCTGACCTCGGCTTCATCTTTTCCCTTCGCCAGCATACCAAACGGCTCTCCAAACGCGAGATCACCAATGACATCGAAAGCGAGGTAGTTGAACCAGTGCAGTGCATCCATATGATACCATCCTCCCTTCTCTTGAACGCTGGCCGCCCTTCGATCCCACTGCTTCTGCAACTCTTCCAGGTTGTGATGGATATACTGCTCAAACTGCAGTACACTCTTGGCAGAAAACGTATGAGAAACCGTCTTCCTCTTCCTCGTGTGTTCCGCACGATCCCTCGTGTTGAACAGTCCCCGTCTTATCGACACAAAAGCATCGTAGTACTCGCTCTTCAGGAACCCATTGCCGTGACCGTAGATCTGCGGAATAGCGTCCGCATCCGCAATACTGACGTGATGCGGCTGAATACGAACAAGCTTTCCGTACTTCTTGTGTGCCTCATGAACGGCGAGATAGCGTTTCCCGCGCCGGCATTGAGCCAAGAGCCAGAGGTTCGTCCAAGCGGCTGGGAACGGAGAGGGGATATCGCGGATCTGCCAGTTGCGGAGGTAAGGCAAGATGTAGAAGACGACCGGAAGGAGTAGGATAGACCACGGCGTGATCAGAAGCGTCGTAAGAAACATCTTGGGCGTCGTGTCTGTCGAAAGCCAGAAGGTCGGTCAAGAGTAGAGCTTGGCTCTTTATCCGGTAAGAGAAACGCTCTAGCAATAGCACCGAGCCCAACGTACTCTTGTCGAAACTCTATCGTACAAAGTAGACTGACTCGCTTTTACCCTCTTGTACAAAAGGTCTAGGAACAGGCTTCTTATAGTCGCAGGTCGGCCTTTCGTCAACGCGAACCGTGGAAGTATTCACACGTGCGCATTGCTTTCCCGACGCCAACACGCAACCAACAGACGTCAGACGCCGTCTGGACTCCATCTCCTACACCCCTCCTTTAGCCAATCGCACGGCCCCGAAAACCATTTCATCTAGCCGTGTCGAAGGTCCGAAGGTTTCCAAGCCGGGCGCTTGACCCCGCCTTCCTCTAGTGCGCCGAATGTTCCCCGCGACCTGGTCCATCGTCATCGGGAGCGCGACGCCAAGTCAGCGCAGTAGCCGATCAAATGGACTCTTGTCCGAGAGTTGTGCGTTGGGGATGGATGCTGATGTCTCGGTGTTGAACAACGGCTATGGAGTGTGAGGTGGTGGAACATGAGCCTTACCGATGTGCCTGCCGTATGTAGCTTACGCGGTGTCACGTCGGAAGTACTCGAAACGCGCCGAAGGTAGCACAGAGATCCCGCGGTCATGTCTAAATTGACCTTTGGATATATGAAAAGCTTACGGAAGCTTATGACGGCTACGACAGTCATCCTGTTATCACACGAAGGTAGTCAGACATTTCAGAGGGTATTAAATTAAGAAACATCGCTATCTACCTAAGAACGTCCTCTCGCTACAAATGTCCCTAAAAGAGTCAGACAGGTAAAAGGTACCGTCTACTCATACAGCAAACGCCTTGTGGTATCATGCCTTCGATCATCCATCAATGTATCGTTATCCTAGCGCGTATATCGTCCACCAACATGTTACTTAGTTGTTGTCATCATCATCAGAGAAGAAGTTCAAGATAGCCTTGACCGCCATAGGGCCCAGCCCGTGGGGTGGGTAGCAAATGTAGCTTGGGTCGTCGACTGCACCCAGCTTCTCACGGAACTCAGTCTTGTTGGTGAGCTTGAGTTCGGTCGCAATGGCGTGGTAGGCGCGGCTGAGCACCTTGACGCGAGTGCCCTTGACGTTGTGTCCTGGGCTGAACTTGGAGCTAGCACCACCACCAAAGGTGACGCTGGTCGCGCCACTAGCGGCGACTTGCTTGAGAGCATGTGTGACAATGTACTCAATCGAACCACCGGGTGCGCCGGGGAAGTCGAGAGAGTACTTGACTTGCCAGCCGTGGTCGGGTGAGAGCTGCGCCATGGCGACAAAGGCAGCGATAGTGCCGTCGGGTGTGTAGGCGATGTGGTATTGGCGATGCTCCTCGTCTTGCCATGGGTGGATGTTGGTCAGATGGACCTGCTTGCCCTTGCGGTTGTTCAGCCAATCCGCTACACGAGCATCGACCTTGGCCTTGACATCTGGTGGTGGTGGTGTGCCGAGGGCGTAATCGCTGATCTTGACACCCTCCTTCTCCGCGTGGCGGATCTTGCGCTGCACGTCAGAGTCCTTGTCCGCTGGGTTGTGGACAGGGTCTACACGCTGCTCTCCAGTGACGGAGAATGTGCGCCAGTTGAACTTGGTTGCAAGTACCTCCTCGGTGGCGTGTCCTACAAGAAGCCACAGTGGCTTGAGGTTGCGCTCCTTCTTGATGTACTTGAGGTAACCAGCCATGGTCTTGAGGTATTGAGACTCGTGGCAAAGAGGGTCACCAACAGTGATGGCGAAACCGTCTTGAGGTACGAAGCCGACAGCCGCACCGGTGTTCTCGTCGCGCCAGATCTCGGTGCGAGGCTCCAACCAGGAGGTGTTGGTGGCATCACCGTAGTTGGCGATAAGCTTCTCAATAGGCTGGAGGTCGATCTTGGCAACCGCACGATCCTGTCCTTCCCATGGTGGGTGCATAGTGCTGGCCTCAGGATGACGCAGCTGCTTGACGACTGGTCGCTCTGGCAGACTCTTCGGGTCGCGAGGGAACATGGAGGCATGGCGAATGTTTCCGAGGTTCATCATCAACATGAGAATACGCTCGAGACCGATACCACCACCACCGTGGGGCGGTGCTCCCCATTGGAAGCCCTGGATGTAGTCCTCCATGGAACCGGGGTCGACCTTGAGCTTGCGCATCTTGTCCAGCAGCAAGGTGGAGTCGTGGATACGCTGGCCACCACTGAGAATCTCTTGACCTCTGCAGAAGATATCGAACGAGTTGGTAACGGTGGGGTCGTTCGGGTCGTTCATGGCGTAGAATGGGCGCGCATTGGCGGGGAACTTGTCTAGAATGTAGTAGTCGGTTCCAAGCTTCTGCTTGATGACACGACCAAGCTGAACCTCATCCCTGGTACCCAGGTCTTCGTTCACGTCAAGCTCGTTGCCATCATCGTCCCTCCAGCCGGACTCGTTCAGCATGCGAACACCGTCGGCGAAGGGAATGATGGGTGTCTGGTCCAGCCAGACCAAGTCCTCGTGAGGGAAGTGCTTCTTGATGACTTCAATCTCGGGACGGTATTGCTCGTAGATACCCTTGAAAATGGCCTTGAAAGTGCGGTCCAGCACACGGAGGACCTCGTGGTAGTGCTCGTCGATCTGCATCTCCAGATCCAGACCAGTGTACTCAGTCAAGTGACGGTACGTGTTACTGTTCTCAGCACGGAAGACGGCACCAATCTCGTACACCTTGCCGAAGTCTGCAGAGATGGCCATCTGCTTGGCCAATTGGGGACTCTGAGCAAGGAAGGCGCCACGACCAAAGTAGTCGATCTTGAACACACTGGCACCCGACTCGGTAGCACCACCCTGAAGCTTTGGGGTGTGAATTTCGATGAAGCCTTCAGAGTCTAGCTGGTTACGGAAGAGCCTGCAGATACCTGACTGGATGCGGAAGATACCCTGTGAAGCTGTTGTCCTGAGATCGATAACGCGGTTGTTCAGACGCGTACGATCCGCAATCTTGACGCGGGTATGTCCTTCCTTGTGGTCTGCATTCGCAAGTTCGGCGTCGACCTCAGCCTGTGAGACCTCGGCTTCGTTGACGTTGAAAGGCAGGTGGTCGGTGACGGCGGCCTCGACGTGGAGGGCGTGTACCGAAACCTCGACGTCGTGGATGGTGGCTCCAAGAACCTCTCCCTGCTTGGCCTTGGGCTCCTGAAGGATACCCTTGACCAGGACGATGGTCTCGGCGTCCAGGTGCTCAGCCCAGTACAACATGTACTTGGAGATATCCGCGTGCTCCAAAAGAACACCCTGGATGGTAGCGAGCTGCTGGCGGAACATCAAGAAGACGAACTTGGAGCTCATCTTCCTGAGGTGGTGGATGCGGGCGCGGAAGACGACCTCCTTGCCAACGTCCTTTGCGGAGAAGTCCTGAATCCTGTGGCGGGGCTCATGCTTCCACTCGCCAGCGTAGGAGTTTGGGTCGATGACACCGTACTTGGAGCGCTGCTCAGGTGTCAGCTCGGCCAATGCCTGGTCTTCCATCTCCTTCCTCCTCCGCTCGAGCTCTTGCTCCTTCTCCATGTTCTGCTTGTGGCGCTCTTCCTGCTGGGCCTGCTTCTCGTGCTTGCGCAGCTGGCCGCGGGACATGGGCTCGCCCTCGCGGTTGAGTGGGGCATCTTCGTCGCTCGAGTCGTTGCCAATGTGCAGCTTCTCCTTGACGGCTCGCATGGGGCTGTGCGAGATGGAGCCGGAGCGGTTGGTCTTGTTGGTCTTGTCAGTGCCGGTTCGGCTCGGGCTCTCGGTGCGACGGTGGAGGATGCCGCTGAGGGAGTTGCGGGGCTGGTCGATGCTGGTCCTGCTGTCGGTGGGAGAGGCGACGTCAGCGCGCTTGTGCTCGCCGCTTGCTCGAGAGCCGCCCAGGGTGACGGAAGAGCGCGGCGACGCGACGGGCGACTGTGCGCGGCCATTGACGGATGAGGGCGACTTGACGCCGCTCTTCTCGTCGTCCGAGGCCGAGGATCCGTGGTGCGGCTTGAGCTTGTCAAGCGCTCTCTTGAGGGAACTCATGGCGGGGGTGAAGCGAGAGCGTTGCCCGTGTGTGCGTGGTTAGACTACCTGAGCGCAAGTGGGGGCAAGCAGACGCGGGGGAGTGCTGCTGCTGAGGGGGGATGGAAGGTGTTCCTGGGCGAGGGAAAAAGAATTGCTATGGATATGCTAGCGAGGCCGGGAGACGCGAGGTTTAGTATACCGTGGCTGGCAAGGGCGCCTGGCGTGTATGCCGATGCGAGGGTGAATGGGCTATGACGTGACCCCCCAGTTTTCGGTACAAGATGGCTGCGTTTCACTGACAAGCCCTTCCTAGCGCCGAGCTTGTGCACAACACCGACCGTGCGCAAGCGTGACGTAGATGCTAGGGGATTCCTTCGCTCTAGATCGTGCCTGGCCGTACGAGAGAATCCGCGGGTGCCGGACGGAGTAGGGTAGATTAGGAGCGGAAGGACTGGTTGTGATAATAATGAATGGACCCCTCCATCACCGCAGCATCGCCAGCTACCACCACCATAACTATGCCTCTTCGACGTGAAGAGATTGATATCAAAACTCTGTTATACTGACAGGTTGAACGGCCCGCATGCACAACCCTTTGTCTTCGCTGACACATGCCGCCCCTCTGTCCCAATCGGTAAAGCTGCTGTCTGCGCCTTTCTCGTTCCAGCAGACCCGGTGCTAGTACAGGCAATGACATGCGAAGCTTTTCGAGCCAAGATCTTCAACCCGGCCTGCAGTCCACTTCAGCCACGGGCCGGCTATGTCAGCATCGACAGTAAGCCGTTTGGCGACGCAGAGCCATCAGTCACCTCCCAACAAGCTTCGGCGCTCGCAACTGACGGCCGCCGCATGTGAAGGATTAATCGCGAGAGATGGCTTGGCGGATGCTTACTCGTATCTCGTAGCGGCGTGCCGGGTGAAACCGAGCCTAGTCTCTCCGAGC